GGCTGTTAGGTGAACAGTGCAGTTTTACACCTTTTTTTTTGGTATTTTTAAGCACTATTGTGTATTTTACTGTAAATGAAGAAGACATTAGAGTGACATAACAGGGATAAGTTCCTCCCACTTGGGTCTGTGCTTAGGACTGTGCCAGCTTAGGAGTTTTCAGCCTGTAGGTGCTTGAGGGGCAATATCAAGGGTTCCCTGGCTTTAGGTCATTATAAATGAAGGGTGAGCATTTCCTGAAACATACCACTGCAAATGGCACAGCTTAATAAAATTATTTTATACATGGCAAAAATCAAAATGCTTGAGTAGTGGGTGAGAAATTGAGTGATATTTGAGCAAAATATTTTGAGTTTTCATGCAGCCAGATTAAAAAGATTATTTTGTGGCCTTTAACCTTTGCTAAGACTAAACATAGCATAATCAGAACTTATTTTCTTTTTTTTTTCTTCTTTTTTTTCACTTAAAGCTGTTTTTGAGGTATCATTTTCTGTTTTTTTCTTTGACAGAAATCTTTTGTGTGATCCTCTGTCTAATTTTAAGGATAGTAGTCTCTGTTTGTAGATGGGGACAACAAAATTAGGTTTTGATGTGTCAGAGCTTTTATCTTAGTCTTAGGGGAGTTTGAGGCTATTGTTTTGAAAAGTACAAAACATGAGGCAATTTTTAAGGATAAGAAACTGAAGATGAGAATATTGGAAATAAGGCAATAGAAAATACAGCTTCTTCTGTGAGCTGTCTCTTTGGTTATCGCTCTAAATACTGGGGAAAGGCAAGGACAAGCATCCAACAGAAAACACAAAATCCAGAAAAGTTAAAAATTGCTATATCTGTGGCAATTAAGAAACCCATTATATTGATAACAGACTAAGAGGCTTTACCAGAGTCTGTTTCAATAAGTTTGTCACCAAACTACTTTTAATTTTCCTAGACAATTTAATGTAATGGGCAGATATGAAGTGTTTTCATTTTGGACAGCAGGTTGAAGCTAAGACAGAAATCTTTCTAGCAGATTGCTAAATTTCACATAATAAGAAATATTAATTGTACTGGACAGCAGATAGATAAGCTGAGGAAACGGAAAAAGGTTAGTACCTTTAAAATTGCACAGCAAGTTTAATTAAAACTTTAATTTGAAAACATGGCAAACAGAAATTAGAATCCATTTTGAACAGTCAAGAAGTAAAAGCAACTTTTAATATTTAATTTTCTCAGTATAATCTTTGATTGAATAAAATTCTGAGGGGGGAAAAAATTTCAAAATACCATTTGACTGAGTTCAAAATGTGCTCACTGACTGAAAGGACTTGATCAGGAATTCAAAATACCAAGAAGTGAAAGATAAGGTTTTAAACAGTCCTCCCTATTTATCATTGTATTCTATTAAACCACCTTTCTGCTCTGACACATCATTATAACAACCTGACTAAACTTGCAATAATTTGTATAACCTTTCTTGAGTGTCCCTTGAAGGAATGCATGGGAAGTACTACACCCCCATTAAAGATGTTTGTCTCTGTATTAATAGTTACTCTGTAGGCAGTGCGTAAGTGAGGTGTTCAAGAGTTTGCATTTTTGTTGGTAGAGTTTGACCAGCCAAAGTTGTCACTGCAAATGGCTTTCTGAAAAGCCAGTTATGGATGCAGGTCCCAGTTGGAATGTGCTGCTTGTTTAATGTAACTATGGTCTTCTACACCCTGTCTTCTGCCCATAACGTGCAGAAAATTGCAGTGATCTTTTTCCTTTTTAGTCCTAAATTACTTTAACTGAATTAACCAGACCCTCTGACATGCTAGATAACTAAGTCAGTGAAGGGAGTCCTGGAAGGATCCTGACTTTGTTGTGTTAAAAGGAGAAGGCTAAGGGAATGTGATGTTAATGCTGTCATCTGAGAAGATGCAGCCAGGGCTCTCTTGGAGGAACAGTGCTAGGATGTTTGGCAGCAGGCATAAGCAGTAACAAGAAAAACTAACAATAAATTGTTGTCGGAGGTGGTGGTCAAGTGCTGGAAGAGAGGCCCAGAGAGGTAGTGGGATCTTCATCGTTGGAGACTGCCAGAGCTCATTTGAACAAGATCTGCTTTGAGCTAAGGATGGGAAATAGAAATTCCCAGAGATCCCTGTCAAATTACTAAATTACTCTTACTAGACAACTGGCCTGTGTTAACTGCACTGAAGGGCCAGTGCAATTTGACTGCAGCACTTGTCAGATGTTGAAGTGTCAGAATTAAAGAACTCCTTTGTGGTATCACTGGGAAACATGATGTAGGTATATTCAAACTGGCCTGAGAATTTTCTTGGGCAGTCTATTTCCCATGAAAGCATAATCTTGGCAGAGGTCCGAAATGGTCGTAGGTTACTTACCATAGATGGAAAGACATGGCTGCTCAGAGGCCTAAAAAGGGGAGGATTGGAAAAAGCAAGGTGAAACTTCACACTGGAAGTAGCTAAATAAGAAATGCTGCAGTAATCGTTTGACTGAAACAGTTTTCTTAGCATGTTGTAAATTACCCATGTTCTTGTAAAAGGTAAAATTTAAAGCCAGCACAGTAGGAAATTTAATTGATGTCAGGCTTTCTAGCTTATAGTAAAAATCTCATGAGAAGAACTGGCATTTTCCTACAGCAAGTATTAAATATTTTCCTGTGTTATTCCTACCTTCAATTAAATTAATGTTTAAGATGCCTCTATGTGCTTCATTTAATAACATATTACACAAGTGAATAAGTTGAAGAATTCTTCAGTGAAATATGGAAATAATTTTCATGTAACATCAGCAAGTTAACATCTTATTTTGATGTACCACTCTGCACTTAATATCCCAGCTCGGTCTTTGTTGATGTATTTACTCTGAAGCTGAAGCAATTTAAAACACTAAATGGTGTGACTGTGCATTCAGTCTCATTACAGACTTAATGCAACAGCAGTCAAGCACCTCATTATTGTATAACCCAATTTTTATAGAAGGCAGAAATTACAGGTAAAATTTACATGTTGACTCCAGAGCATAAAGAGTGTCATCCATCATTCACTGGGTTAGATCTGAATTGCTGTAATCTTTGTAATTGGAAAATAATGCTTATGGCTGAAACAGCAAAATTCATGTAAAAGTGCATATCTTCTCAAAGTGTTTTAGAAATGTTTACTGCATTTTTTCCACAGGTATGGAAAAAAATGCAGTAAACATTTCTAAATGTGGATTTGGGTGGATTTGATACCATAAAGAAGTACAAAGGCATCTGTCACTGAAATTTTGATGGACATGCATTGGGTGGGCTGATTTGTGAGGACATGCATGTGCTATAACCCATGTTCTCTATTATTAATTTGTATGAGGTTTTTGCTTATTTTCCTTTCCAAGCACCTTTACCTAAGGTGGTTGCTGACACTAGAGAAGAAAATAAAAGCAAAATCTTCTACTAGTTAAGAGGAACAAAATTAAGATCTTATGAAGACCTTTTAAATCTCTTGGAGTTACCCTATACTTGTGTACACTGAAATGTGTTCGTGCATTAGACCAGTAATTATATGAAATTATAATTCTTTTTAAGTTATGAAAAATAACTTTGACTATTGAATCTATTTGTACTGGACCACTGCAGATCAGGAATAAAACACAGATAAACACATAGTGCATGGGAAATGCCTTATGTCACTGAAGAAGTTAAAGATTGATTTGAATACTCTTTGTTGCTACAGTTGCATTTTGGTTACTTCCAACATGAATTTTCCTAATTCTAAATATATGCAGGTATAAAGGAGCCCAATGGCTATTCATTCAGAGTTAACAGAGATATAAATGTTTGAACAAGGAGCTCATTGCTTTGTGCTCTGAGCAATAATAAGGTTTTACCACGTCCTAAATTTTGTGGCATCTCTCATGGAATATTTGAGACCCAGTTTAGTTATCAACACTCCTTTTTGGCATGATGAAATATCTACAGAGGCTAGTTCTACTCTTCTGTGCTCTTAGGAAATATCATGGTGACTGCCTTACGATTCCTTATGTCTCTGATGCTTTGTAACTGTCTTTCAGCAAACATTGTAAGAGAGTAGATAAATTTCTGTTTGAAGAGCAATCATATTGAGCAGAGGGCAGGTGAGGGAAGGAATTAAGAGTTTCACAGGTCTGGGGAGAAAGCATGGAAATGGCTTTCAACTCCCAATTAATACATAACTATGCCTTAGATAATTTGACCATAGTCAAATTGCATTTGTGAGGTGGAAACATCTGTCTGGGACTTCAATACCAGCCTCTTGTGTCTCTTCTCCCTTGAGTGCCGTCACTGCTGGCTTATAGGCAATCCTTTCTGTTAACAGTGGGTGGTTCATGGACTTTATTGCACTTTGTACAAATTTGCCCTTTAAAGACACGTGAATGTAGGTGGAGTGCTGTACAATATGTGCTCAGATCTTAGGGGTATTTCTTGCTTAATGTGAATTTCATAAAATGTTCTCCTACCAGGCTGTGATGTCAAGACTGGCAGGTGTTCCAGTGTTTTTTGTGTGTGGCAGTTGGCAGTAGGACTTCCATCAATACTGATTATGGGAGTTCATTTTTTTGTGTGCATCATTTTAGGGACTGAGAACCTCTTCCCTCTTTCTCTAACTCTGTAATCACTATAAGAGCTGAATTGCTCATTTTGCTGTCAGTTTATGCTATCAAAGACTGATGGGGACTTGCAGTTTTCAAAAGGAAGCTATAACTCTTGTGTATATTCATAGGTTACTTTTAGAAATGCTTAAGGACAACTCATGTCAGACAAAGTTTTATAAAAGACATTCCAAATATCTTGCTTCTTCTCATCTTTATTACTGGTTGACAACATAGCAGTTTCTCACACCTCAAGAATTCCTGAGGGAGAGAATCTCTTGAAAATTCTCGGCGGCTTGGATTTCTAGAGCTTGTTTTTGAAAGTGTTATTTAGCCAAAGTCTTGGCACTGTGTCAGAAGGAAGTAGGTCTACTATAACATTGCTGACAAAGCTCTGTTGCTTCCAGGGCCCAGGTTAGGATCTCTGTGAGGCTGCGCTGTGTCCTGACGTGTTAGGACCCATCTTTGGTAGCTCAGTAGAGCACAGATCCTGGGAGGCATGGACGCGCCAGCAGAGGAATGGCACGGCACTGGCACCAGCGGTACATTTGGCACTGGTAGGACTTCTTGCTCACAGCATGCTGCAATTCTTTTGTGAATCAATTTAATACCAAAAATAGCTACTGGCTTTTTCAGAGACTGAGTCTGCCATGGTATGGTGGTACTGTGATTACAAAACACTCCCAATATGGAGTAGGATATAACTTCCTAGAGGAAAGTCAGAATAAACTAGTAGAAATTAAACCAGGAAAGAAATTAACACACTCCATATAAATATAATTTGGCTGTCATGGCTCTTCTCCTGCCTGCAGTTGGAGCTGCAATGTGATCCTATCCCTTGCTGATTTAGCTGAGGCAATGGCAATGTATGCTTGGCCTAAGTCTCATAGGTGACTCTTCAAATATTTGATTGAGGATTTTGGAAAGGAAATAAAAAGTAAGTAAATGACAAGAAGGCAGGAAAGGCTCAGGGTCTACCTTAACTAGTGGTGCAAACCCCAGTGTGTTGTCCCTGAACCTCTGTTGCAAAGGGAATGAACTCAGACTGGCTCCAGACACCAGATAAAGGTGTTCATTACCTAGAAAACCCCTGAGGGTGGGCAGGTTGCTCCTTGTCTGTCAGAGTCCTGGGAGGCCATAGGAGTTCTGCTTGTTGCTGAGAAAGGGGTCAAGCATGTTGGGGGAGCAACTATGAAGTGAGAGAGCAACTGCTTGCAGCATTATCCATTGCTCCCTTTCTGCTTCTCCTGCCCTACCTGACAGAACAACTTGACTTTAAAGCTCTGTCTCAGTTTTGGGCTTGACCGTGTAATCAATAAATTCAATTTTTCTCACACTGCTAGGAAACTGAGCCAGCTTACAGCAGGTGTACCTTCTGCTTGTACTGTAAATGCAGTAACTAAATGGGAAGTAAACGGGAAGTCCTTCGTCACTGCTCTTCTTCATGTGCTTGTCTTTGGATCAGGAGCAGGAGGCAGCTTCTCTTGTATAATCATTTACATGCTGCGGGAAGAGCCACTATAGCCATCTGTTGAGGAAAATTAGCAGTTTGCAATATGTTACATCTGTAAATGTATAAACTCTTCCAGGCATTGCGTGTGTTTATATACATACTCTGGTGTAATTGAGTATAGCTGAGGAACTCAACTTGCTGCTTCATTCCCAAGCAACGAGCCATACCACGAGAGGAAATGCCCTGAAGTTGCACTAGGGGAGGTTTAGAATGGATATTAGGAGAAAACTTCTTCACCAAAAGGGTTGTGAAGGACCAGAACAGGCTGCCCAGGAAAGTGGTTGATCTGCATCCTTGCAGATACTTAAAAGATGTGTAGATGTGGTGCTTAGAGACATGGATTAGTGGTGGACTTGGCAGTGCTGGGTTAATGGCTGGACTTGCTCTTAGGGGTCTTTTCAACGTAAACAAGTCTGTGATTGTCCTCTAGATGACAGTATGTTTTTGCAGGGTAGATAAAGGTTAATTTTAATTTCAAATGTATTTTATGCAAGTGCAGATGATAAGGCAAGGATTAATGTAGTAGAATATATATCTATCTTGATGTTCAGAATTGTCTAATTATTTCCAGAATTATTTTGCCTCAAACATGTTCTAAAGGTTCTCAGTTGGATTTATTTGATATCAGAATTTTGACTGCTGCACCTTAGAGTGCTAGGATTATTTGATTTTGTTCCAGGCTTATCTTTCTTTGAAGTATAGCAAAATATCCAATTATTTAAGATTCTTGAATAAGTAGCTACTTTGTAAAGCTTTGTTTCTTGCTAAGACACTTATTTTCCCTCTAATCCCTGATTGGGAAAACCAATTTTTAAAAAGCAGCAAACTCATATCCTCGTAGTGAATATACTTTTGTTCTTGTGTTTTGTTTGATATATCACTTAGTGCAAGCAGCAAACTGAAATGACAAGCCTAAGAAAATTGTAATGGCTTTTAGTGATATGCAGTCAAATAAGTATCACATGGTAGTAGCTTTGAAATTGTTGATTAGAGAGATTCAGTTACATTTCTCTGATTTACTAGGCTTACATGTCACTTATATTCGCAAACTGCTTGCATACTGTAGGTCTGGGTTTTTTGTGTGTGTGTGTAGTTCCTCAGTGGGGGGTTTGAAGTGGATTCAATGGTCCTGAGCTTTTCCATGTTTCGATGCTTATCCCTGCTCTCACAGCTGCCTATGCTTCAGGTATTCTATCAAGAGTGGCACAGACTCAAGCCAGATTCTGAGAACCAATACCCAAACCATCATGCAAGTCATTTACTGAATTTTGCTGGGGTTTCATATTACTCAGTCCTGCTAATAAATCATCAGCTCCAGGAGTCATGGTATAGAACAGTGTGAACTTTGCTGGCATTTTTTCTCTTGCTTTTTCAATATATTTTTGGCTTTTATAATGGTGAGAAAGGGCTGTAGAACATCAGTTCTAATTGCTTTGTAAATAGAAATGAAGAGCAAGCCCACTTTTGTTAATGTTTTTAAGCAAAAATATGCCATTTTCATGATTTGGAAGAGGAACATTGGGACTATTTAATGCTTTTGCTTGACAGTATTGAGTTGCAAGTGAAGGCTTTGGATAGGCATATTTAAGGAAACAAGACTGGATAAGGGACAATTGTGTCTGTTGCTGTGTCTCAGCATATAGATGAGCCAGTTTGTTTTCTCCCTAACTTCTACACTGTTCCAAATAAAATACATTCTGTTATCCTGTTAAACCAACACACTGTTTTAGAAGGTGCCATTTTATAAACAAGACCAAACAGTCACCCTCTGTAGCCAGTCTGAGAGCCAGCCTTGCTGGGAGAGAGGCAGACTCCTTTGTGACTGATACAAATCCAGTGAATGTAAATGAAGCAGACTTTGGTTGATTCTGTGAAAAAAAAAATCTCTACTGCTTTCCTGATAAAAAGCATTGAGACTGCTTTCCAGTAGGGGAATTGTCTGCATTTATCCCTAGGAAGGTTATTTTGATCTTGTATTTGTTCAGTCTCCTGTTTTTTGTATTAGTGAATTTTTGATTTCTCTACCCTGCATGTTTTACAGCATTGTAAGAAGGAAGACAGTGGGAACTCTGTGAAGTAAGAGGTGACTGATGGCATTAGGTACATGCTAAAAGAGCCAGGGCGAATCCTAGATTTTCTCTTCTAGTAGAGGATAATAGAATACATGTATTTTAGCACTGACTCCTACAGGTGCTTTGCATTGCACTGAGTCTGACTTCAGTGGGAGCCACTCAGGGCATCCAGAACTGGACACATTTGAGCATCTCCCAGTGCTCCAGTTATTGCAGGGATTTTCCTTCTCTTTACTGAAATAGGGTTATTTGTATAGGTGCAGCACACTTCTGTACAGTGTTTGTCATGCATTAGATGTCTCAATTTCTTTCCAGTGACTTTCCTGTTTCCCCTTATAATTGAAACAGCTGGTTCTATGGTAATGAGTCCCTTTGAACTGTCAGTGTGTGTGTATTTCCATTTACACTGCTGGCAGTTTTTTCTGAACCTTCTCCCCTTCTGTCCAAATAGACTACTTGCATTATCAAATCTATCTCATTGTTCACAATAGCAGTTCTGTGGATTCTCCAGACCCCACTTCCTTACTGAGTTTATTGCTCATTTTTCAAAGGCCTTTGTCAGACTCTGGTAGGTGTATTAATAGTTGTCAGATAATCAAAGTGAAGGAGGAGAAATTGTATTTTTAATTGTACAAACTATCCTGTGGAGGGGTCTGGCTAACCTATTGACTTTCCATTACATAATAATTCATATTCAAATTAATTTTGGCAGCTTTCATTTTGCCTGTATTATCTATGATCATTTAAAATTCTATAGCAATTTATAATATAATTGATGTTGACCAGGATAATTTTTTATGCCAACAGGAGGAGAGTCTTGTGCAGTGATTTGAGATATGGCTGAAAACCAGGAGTCTAGGAATGTGGTCCAAGATAAATAATTGAATGACTCTGTTTAAGATAGTACTGATTGTTCATGAGCAGTTTCCAGAGATGCACAGAGAGTGGCCCAAGGCAATGGCCATAGCAGCAACAAAGATTAGACATAATGAAAAAACCTTAATGCATATCATAATAAAGATAGGTCTGCTTTCCTTGTCATGCTGGGGTCTCTGTTCAGACCTGGGCAAGCCAGGTGTGTTAGTGAACTCCTGATTAAGCACATGGAACATTAATTTAATGAACTTGCTGAATCAGGAACTCCTGGTCACCTTTCCTCATTTGTACAAAATTCCCACCTTTCCTCATTTGTACAAAAGCTATTTACAGCTGAATGTGAAGGAATGGGTTTGCTTTTCACAGCCAAGGAAGCCTTGGTGCCAACAGCTGGTACAGTAATTATTAGAGACTGGGAATTCCCAATTACATAAAATTTGTGAAAGAAAAATAATTATTTATCTCAATTACTATCATTCCCTGAAGGGTTGCATGGCCTACATTCTGCTGGAGCTGAACAAGTTACTAAACAGAGGAACTTTTAAAAACTCTTCTACCTGGACACCCAGCCTAATTTCCGCCTTTTCTATAAATCTTGCTCTTACTGTATTTTGTTTAACTTGATCTGAGTTTTATTAATTTTAAGCTTCTAACTGTAGACTTGGTTTTCATACTTGCTTTTATTGGACTTTAAACCCTGGAAGATCCAGAAACTATAGGTACAAAGCTTTCTGTCTAGAGAGTTAAGCTGTTCATGTGTTTTGAATACTAAATGTCTCTCCCATTTATAATTTATAAGTGTAAATGTGTAGGGAGCAGCTAGTGCCACAACAACCAGTGCTTTTAGGGCTGCTCTCATTTGGAGGCACTTATTCAAGGCTCTTACTTCATGTAAATCTACTATTAGTATTTCCCATCATGTGCACATACTGCAAACATAATTTACCTTTCCAGGAGCAGACTCTTGCTGTTTACTTCTGTAGAAGCAGACAGATGCTATTAGCTCATTTTCATTTCATGACCAAAGTGGCAGTAAAATAATTCAGACACAGCTCTCAGCATATGGTGATGGGAAGCCTGCAACCTCCAAATTCACTTGTGTGTAGTTTGGTCTGGAGTACATGTTTCTAAATAACATGACCTTTCTCTAAATGCAAAGCACATTGGTCACTGCTTTTAATCTCAGCATCTTTCTAATTTGCTGCTCACTTATTACCTGAACTGAAGGTGAGGCTGAGTGTGAATGTTCCCCTGATTCTTCACAAGGGGCTGTAGAGAGAAATCTGTTCATTTTTCACACACACAACTTGCAGAAAAGCTTTTTGGACGTGGTGTGTGTGTAGGAGGGCAAAATGACACTGTGGGCAAAGGAGTAAACTTGAAAACAGAATTCAGATAGCATCTTAGGTTTATTTCATGGTGAATCTAAGGAGTCTGATTCTGAATTTGTGGTGAGGTTATGTGGGTCACCATTTTGCAACGAGGTTGGATCTGGTTGGGTGAGCTGAATTCAAGTCTTTTAGCTCCTGGGAAGAGGCATGTACTGGCTGTGTTCTGTGTCACAAAGATCCTTACTTCTACAGGCACTAGACAACTGAACACTTTTATGCCATTTAGTCCCCCTCAATAGAGAAAGATGTAGCTGTCAAATGTGTAATACTGATTTTCATTGTAATCCAGTTATCTAGGCAGGCACAACTTTCTGAAGTTGTGTGCTTTTGATGAAATACCTACACATGGGAGGCTTTGTAGCACTACTTTGTATCAGAAATGCTGGGCCTATGTGTATATTTTGATTTTCTGCATGGCTTTGGAGCCAAGGGCCTCAAATAATCAATTAGTTGAGCAACATATCACAGAGACAATCTGTACCCTAAAAAGTTTTTAATTTGATTTTTTGCTGCTTAGTCACAGAGTAGAAGAGGTTGGAAAGGACCTCTGCAGATCATCTATTCTAAGCCTGTGTTCAAAGTGAGCTGTGTCCAGACAAGTTTTGGCTATCTCTAAACATGAAGACTCTACAAGTTCTCTGAGAAGCATGTTGCAGTGTTGAACCAAACTTATAGTAAAAAATTTCCTTTTCTTTAATCAGAATTTCCTGAATTTCAGTCTGTGCCAGTTGCCTCTTGTCCTGTCAGTGGGCACTACTGACAAACATTTGGCTTCAGTTTCCCCATCTCATCATATGTATCAGTAAGATCACTTTGAGCTGTGAATCCCTTTATAAAGGTCAAAAGAGCACGTCAATTTCCAGCAAATGAGCTCTAAGTATGCCAGATATAGAATATGTTTGAGAGACTGAAGACAGAGACCTGTCTTCAAGGTTCTCACTTTTTCTTTGTAGCCAACATAATCTTTGGTGGTTTGTTTGGTTTGGTTTGGGTGGGTTTTTCTTTTGTTTTCCTTTGGTGGGGGTTTTTTGGTTGTTTGTTTTTGGGGTTTTCTTTGTAGCCTAGTATGTTTCAATTTCAGCATAGTGCAGTTTTAATTTTTTTTTCCACTTGGTACTGTTTTCTTGATGTTTCACCATGGAGAGGTGAAGACAGAATGCCAGTTTTTGCTTCTCCATTCTTGTTCAGTCTAGCACTGACTAATAAATTTGTGTGGGATGCATGTAATCCACTTTCCTGTTTTCCTGAGGAAATGTGAGAGAACGTATGCAATGATGAAATGAAAACTTCACAAATGTGACCTATCACTTACTTTTTGAATCTGTGCTATTGCTTTCCTCTCCTGGGCACAGCTCTTGTTCAGTGAATATCAAAACTTTGTGGACACTGAAGGAATAACAAGGTTCTAATGAACTGAAAAAGGAAGAGTTTGTAGCAAAAAAAAAAAAAAAATTTTTTTTTCTTCCATCAATAATGTACATAGTTAATTGACAAAAAATGTCTTATGCAATCCAACTTCTCTATGTTTGTGCAAAACAATATCATTTTTAGCCACTTTCAGTGGGCTCAAAATATATTTTCCAGTTCTCCAGCTTCCTGGTGATGTGACATCAGCACAACAGCCCAAGCTGGTGATTATATTTAAAGCAGAATATAATGAGACAAAAGAATAAGACTGTAGCTTGATAATTTCTATTGGTAAATTTAGAACTTGCAAAAGCTGAAATAATAGTTGTAGTGATAAAAAGAAATATAATTTTTATACTTACCTGCTGTTCTGAAAAACCAATGTATAATTATTGTAGGAGGAAGAAAAATACATCTCTCCCCCTCACTCTGCTACTTTTTCCTCTTCTCTTCAGTGCTGAAATCATCCAGTTTAATTAAATCACCAGCCTATTTCTGCACAAAGGATGACATTTTATTAATGATGTATGATGTGTATGAGACAGAATTAACCCAATTTTCAAATGGATTTCAATTTGGAAAGGGCAACATGTAAAAATGTCTTGTAAATGTGTGGGATGAGCTTGTTGAGCAGCTTTCTGAAGGAGATGGGATTACAAAATGATGAATAATTAGACAACAGTCTCTCCAGTCCCTGGCTTTATAACGTAGCCCAATATCACTACCTTTTCCATGTGTTGTTCAGTTTTGCCCTTTTTCTCAGTCCTGTTTCTTTCCTAGCAGTAAGTCCAAGGAACAGTAGGTTAGATGATAATATTTACAAGTAACTGGGAGGAGCTGAAGGTCGCTGTTTTGATCTTAAAATGTCAGGCACTATGTTTGTGGTGTGGCTCACATTTCAAATATGCCTGAGAAGCCTGAGGTTCAGAGAGTGGTTGGGGTCCACTCAGGCTCCCTTCACTTATATCTGAGTGGGGTAGTCACAGCAGATGAATGTTCATACAGTAATTTGTTGTACAGACTTGAAGAATTGTAAGTTGTTAACAAGCTTTTATCCCTTCTGCCAGGGGAGCAGATAATCTGCCTCATCACTCTGACATACATTTCTGTGAATGAAACTCTATTGCCAACTCCCTTTACTCTGAATTGAGAAATAGCTTTCTAATTTTACCTTTCTGTTTGATAGGAAAACTGGATAGGTGTAATTTTGCAGTTTTTAAGTTTATTTTTAATTTAGCAGATTTTGGGGGAAAAAGGCTTCACTTTCATTTCCATACTTCTGAAATGCAATTTTTATCAAAACAATTCTCAAAAATCATTAACCTCTGAGAACAGGGTGTTGTGGAATAGACAGTGAAAAGGTTTGAAACAGATAGCTAAAATGCTTTGCTGATAAAATGGCAAGACAAATCTGCCTGCTAGAAGTATGATTCCTTTTTTGTGGCTGTTATGTATGGGGTAAGGTGATGAAGGCACTAATCCATGTATCAGGAAGCAAATTTTTAAATGGTCAGGCTGTGAAGCTCAGAGCAAATGTGCCAATTAGAGTGTTCCCACATTCTTGATTGATGCAGAAATGGTCATATAGGGATTTTTGGTAAGCTCTGTGTTAAAATATTTTTGTTGCTTCTGTTGGGAGAAATTCTTGAGCTACAAGATTGGTGGTGGTGTTCATAATGAAGTAAGGGTTGGAGGTCCCTGTTATTCCAGCTATCTGTGCTCATGTAACTCTGATTCCTGACCCAGAAGAGCAAACGCTCTACAACAATGAGATGTGGCAGCATAAATATCATGCCCTTCTGTACAGACCATCAATCTTGGCTACTTGCTTAGGAATGGAAGCAGGCATTCTGCTGCAGTAAGTGTGGAAACAGTGTAATGTATTTTGGAATTTAAGGTTGGTATGAAAGGGGCCTTCTATGGCATTTATGCCAAAAGTTTATGTAAGAAGTGCATACTCTTTAGAAGGATTAGAGGGAAATAAAAGTAGATTGCAGGAGTCCTGAACAAATTTAATTTACCCTTGTCAACGTGTTATCATCAGAAACACAGAATTACCATCCTGTCTATCTAACCTGTGACCTGGGGAGATGTGGCTCTATAAGCAGGAGCAGAGCTGGAAGTCGAGGTCCCAGTTCACTCCCAGAGTTCAGAGGTGCGAAATATCGTTCTGAACTTGGCTTACTTATAAACATATGAGATGAATATTTATTTTTTTCTATAGGTATTCCTTTGATTTTATTCTTTGTCCTCATGCTCTGGTTTTCATTCACTGTTACTGTGCGGAAGGAGGGGCTGTACCTTGTGTGCACCATCCTTAACAGACCTTTTCTCTCTTTCAGAACAAGGAATGAAGAAAATGAGCAACATCTATGAATCAGCAGCCAACACCCTGGGAATTTTTAACAGCCCATGCCTGACTAAAGTGGAGTTGCGAGTTGCATGCAAAGGCATATCAGACAGAGATGCCCTCTCAAAACCAGATCCTTGTGTCATCCTTAAAATGCAGTCACACGGCCAGTGGTTTGAGGTGAGTGTTTAATAAAATAAAATTGATTCTTCTGGCACTTTAGGATGGCGTAGACAAACTGCTGAGGCAAAATTGAAATAGCAAGAACAGTAAAGAGAAGCAGCAATTTGAAGCCTGTGGCATAATCTTGCAAGAGCAAAGGGAGATTGTCCATTAACCCTAACACAATTTGAATCAGAAACTTTGAACTTCCCTTTGGAATCTAGATTAAAAATCAAGATGAATAAAGAAGGAAGCATCATAAAACTTTTCCCTTTAGGCCTTATTTTTTCATAAAAGCTATATACTAGCAGAGATAATGATAGTGACCATGAGGTATTACAATATAAAGAGGAGTACTGTGGAAGAGAGGAGGGTTTATCATTAGCTGGCAAGGGATTTGGTGACAGAGTAGCTTGATTTGCAAATTTTGAGCATTACAGTTGGATTCCTTGTTGCAGTTAGTAAAACTAATGTATTTGCCTTATCAATTTGCCTTGTATTGCAGGTTGCATGTTTGATTAAAATCCTGCTTTGTGTTATTTTACCTGATCTTGGAAACAATTTCTTTGATAACTGGAAACATGGTGTCTTAAAGAAATTCAAATTGTAACTATAGAACATAGAATGGAAGGTAATACGTCTAATGACATATTGTTGGTTATTTTACTTATAAATTATAGTTGAGTATTTGTGGTTAATCAGGCTAAAAGGTGTGACTTTAAAAAGAGAATATAAAGTACATAAGAGAAAATTAGGAATTTATTAAATCCAATTAATTGTGAGTGCATATTCATCCCTCTCTTTTCAAGAGTTTTAGCATTCAGCATAGGATTGTCTTATCTATGAAAAGATAAAAAATAATAATGGTGAGCATATGCAGAAAGCAAAGTCTTAAATTCAGGGGTCTTTTAATTTAGCATTTGCAGCCAAGTTTTTTAGACTTTGAGAAGTTTGTTCCATTTATTCCAATTGTTTTGACCTATGAAGTTTTTCCATTTCAGGCCAGCACAACCTAGGAAAGTTAAGGGGTTCTTGATGGCATTCTTCTTCTTTTCTTAGTTTGCTCTTGTAGAACCACTAGACATATCCCTGGTAGAAAACCAGACTATAAATAGAAATAAAACTCTCACAATTGTTTTAGTGCTACAAAATCAGTGTGTCCATGCAATTGAAATTTAGGGTGATAAAACAGTTAGCCTAAAAAAGGATAATTTTAGCTCTCAGTGTAGAAAAAAGCATTTAGCTGCACTGTGTGTAATCACAAAAATAGTAGAAATTATTCAATAAATGGGTTAAAGGTCAAAATAAATGAAATGGCTCTGTTTGAAAAGGACACAATGAAAAGTTTTATGCTGTCTCAGTTTTCTGAATAACTTTGGGTGCATTTACCTACAGTTTGTCTCTGGCAGGGTAAGTCAATTTAAATTCTATATTCTGATGTAGTAATGGAGATTCCCTTTATTTGATGTGGTTTTTAATTTGGAAAGTGATTGTCTGAATAGAGTAAATCTTGCAGAACAGATCTGCCCACTAATATGATTCTCATCTTACGTCAGTTGCTCCTACTGTTTAGTGAGAGTCCAGGCAATTCATTTTAGCATGGAAAAAAAAAGGTGTTATTAGTTCATGTTCCTCTCAGTGCTGCAAAGTGAATGCCACTCTGCTGTGATGAGTATTTTCTGGCAAGCACCTTCTTAACAGAATTTTTAATTGAGTTCCTGTTGCTGAGCTAAATTGAGCAGAGTCACTCAGGTATAGCTAGAGACATAATTTGGCTGGAAGAATCTTCTGCTGATGGCAATCAATGATCCAGCAAGACATGAAAAAACAGACAAAGTAATAATTAAAAAATAGCAAAATCCAGTTACCAGTGAAATGAGTATATTCAACACAGAAATCACTAAATGGCAACCCAAAAAAAGAGTAGAACTCAGGAGTGTGGATTTTGTGACTTCATAAATTATCTTGAATTTCCAGGTACCTTAAACCCCTTGGAGATCCAAATGTGCTGTAGCAAGATGCAGTATTACTGAAATGTACATACTGATTGCATACTATGGTTGTGTAGAGGTTTTGTCGGCACAAGGAGTTTAAATACTCTACTGAGTGTCAGATGGTAAATGACTGAGGTACATGATGATAAATTCCTTAGCTCCAGTGATTATTTTACCCACCTAGAGTGTGAATGTAGCTGAAATGAAGGTGTCCAAAATACAGGTTGTGGTCTGTGTAGGTTGTGCTCTTGCACAGAAGTGCTTTTGAAATCCATGGAAAGTACTGAGGGCTGGCTGCACAGCTGCTCTTGGGCCAGATGCAGCTCAAGCATGTGGGCTTAGGCTCATGGGATTGCCCTATGCATGAAGTTAGAGATTCAGGGATATAAGGGAATGGAATGTAATATTTCCAATGACATGTTGTTGGTTATTTTTACTTAAACGTTATAGTGTTTGTGGTTAATCAAGCTAAAAGGTGTGATTTTAAAAAGAGAATATAAAGTACATAAGAGAAAATTAGGAATTTATTAAATCCAATTAATTGTGAGTGCATATTCATCCCTCTCTTTTCAAGAGTTTTAGCATTCAGCATAGGATTGTCTTATCTATGAAAAGTAAAAATAATAACGATGAGCATATGCAGAAAGCCACTGTTCAGGTGCAGACAATCCCTGAAAGTGAGTGATCTGTGCACATTTCTCTCTGGGAGAATTTTGATAAAATATGCAAGCCTGTTGCTGAGGAATTTTTTTTTCAGTTCTGCAGTTCTGTGTGTGCATATGTGTGTGTTTGTGTAAATTATGCCACCCACACATGTAAATATAGAATGAAAATGTGTTGATGCTCTTGTAGAGTGGGTAGGTGCTGTTTCCAGAGATTGGAAATGACGTCTAAGTATTCTTCATTTTTTAAACTGTAGTTTTCCTGATTTGATTTGTTTTGTTTTGGGGGGTTTTGTTTGTTTGTTTCCCAGACACAAAATTGGTAAGGTTGGAAGGATCCTCTAGAGGTCACATGGCTCATGTGCTGCTCAGGTCACCTAGAGCCAGTTGCCCAGGAGTGTGTCAGACAGGTTTTGAATATCTCTAAGGAGGGGATTCTGCATACTCCCCAGGCAACCTGTGCCAGTGCCTGGTCGCTGTCACAAGTGAAAAAATGTTTCCTAATGTTCCTGTGTTTCAACTAGTGCACATTACCTCTGGTTCTGTCACTAGCCACCAGTGAAAAGAAGCCTGGCTCTGTTGTCTTTGGACCTTCCCTTTGGGTATTACATTGATAAAATGCCCCCTGAGTGCTCCAGGTGTGTCACCCACTAACTTGCTGAAGGTACAGTCTGCCCCATCATCTGGGTCATTAATGAATATCTTAATCAGGATCCAGTACTGACCCCTGTGCCCCACTCCTAGTCTCTGGCATCCAACTAGAATTTGTCTCACTGATATCCAGCCTCTGAACCTGGCCAGATTTCAGTCCACCTCACTGCTCATCCATTCCCTGTAGCAGCAGCTCCTCTGTGAAGATCTTGTGGGAGGCAGTGTCAAAGGCCTTACTGGAGTCCCAGATATTTTCTACCACTGCTCTTCCCTCATCTACCAGGCCAGCTAGATCTACTTCATCCTAGAAGTTTGACAAGTTGTTTGGGCATGACTTTTTCTTGGTTGGCTACTCATGATGATTTTCTTATCCTTAATGTGCCTAGGATTAAGTTCTGTATCAACTTCTCAGGAACTGAGGTGAAGTTGGTGGGCCTGTAGCCCACCAATGATGATTTGATGAGGGACACAAAACTCCTCAGTAGAGAAACCATGGGGAACTTGGACAAATACTCAAAGAATTCTTGATGCTGCCCCCTGTTCTGGGACAGCTATGCTTGCTGGTTTTTTCTTCTTGTCTGGGTAGATGTTTCTCTGTAAACAAACTGGCACACTCACAAGCGTGTACACACACCTCCCCCTGCATTTCCCTGTGTGTGCATGTTGGTGCTGGCTGAAAAGCAGTGTCTCCACCAGGCTAGAATGTAAATGATATGTTGTGTCTCCCAGGAAAATCGGCAGTTTACTCCTTCTCACACATGAAGCCTAACATGACAGGGTGTGATACAGCAAAATCTTAAATTCTGCTGTATTTATGTACTAAAAGCCAATTTGCTGATCCAGAGCTGAATTTTAGCTCTTATGGCCATAATTTTAGGCAGGTGCACACTTGCAAGGTGCCCAAATGCTGTACTTAAGTTGTTTGTTTAGGGTAATTATTCAACGGCTCTTTTTCTGTCTTGATTTGAATGTGTTCAAAGAGTTTAAATACTGTACTAGGTTTCAGATGGTGAATGACTTAGGTACATGGTGATAAATTCCTTGGCTCCAATGATTATTTTACTCACCTAGAGTGTGAATGTCCACGTGTAATAAATGTTAACTGTTAACTAATGTATAGCATTGGAGCCTTCAGCTGGGATGTGGTGGCATTGGCATTCTCATTAACTCCTTAATCCTAGGAAGGTGTCTTGGACCTGTTCACAGATTATCTGCATATGGCAAATACCCATAGTACATGTTATTTTGAAAGCTGAGTAAGTTGCAGAGCTGTGTCTGGTCATACAAGATTTACGTGAGATCAGGAGGTCTCGCACAGCCTGACTTAGGCAGATGGAATGTGATGTCTGGAGCTATGAAAAGAGGAGCTTAGGAAGACAATAGCCATGTTTTGGAATCAGGGAGGGCTTCCTGTAGTTGTACTCTTGTGGCTTTCAGTAGCAGCACAGAGAGTGTCTGCTTCCTTGTGGATTTGAACAGCCAACTGGAGGTTTTGCTTTTTACCCAAAGCTTTTATTAAACCTCAGTAACTGTAGAGCAAATGAAGCAGCATCCAAAAACAACCTGCACTCGCTAAAATTCATCTTGATGGACTTGGGTGAAATTGTTGGAACTAATAAGATTGTTTACTGAAATAGACTTTTTTGTTGAAATATTCTCTGAAGTCAGAATTTGTGGAAAACTTGGTGAGCTTTGATAAAAATGTGTTGAT